TACTCGCCGTTGCCGGGCACAAGCAAGCTAACAAAGGACTTCCCAACTTCAAAATCGTGACACAAGCGCACGCGCAGAGAGAGAGAGAGAGAGAGATAGAGAGAGAGAGAGAGAGAGAGAGAGAGAGAGAGAGAGAGAGAGAGAGAGAGAAAGAAAGAGAGAGGGGAAAGAGAATGAGAAAAATTTTAATTACCATTATCTATAGAAATTAACTGTCATATATAAAAAAAATTACATTAGCAATGTACAATGAAACGAGCCCACGAACTTAATTTATCTCTAAACTCTTGTCAGTCATTGTATTTATGAATTATCAGCTTAGAGTAAAAGCAGCATCACTTTCTCCATAACAATTATGAATATAAACGACGCAAATTCAAAATAATGAGATTTTCTAAAATCTATTTGTAATATATCATTATCTAATTAATTTTAATTTGACAGTGATTCATAATACGAGATTTATTTTCCAACACAATTCACTACTCATACGTCATATAAATTACATTTATAAAAAATATAAAGTACATTTTTGTGCATCGACATCAAATAATAAACGCCTCTTTTTCATTTTGCGACTACATTCCATAAATAGAGGTTTAAAATTTTCATTTAAATTCCAAATGAATACTCTTTAGAACTTCATCCCGCGCGTCTTTCCGCTCTTATACTTTACGACTCTCCTCTCAAGCCTCAAAACTACCAGCATAAATTATCCTTTACATTTTACTCGCCGTTGCCGGGCACAAGCAAGCTAACAAAGGACTTCCCAACTTCAAAATCGTGACACAAGCGCACGCGCACAGAGAGAGAGAGAGAGAGATAGAGAGAGAGAGAGAGAGAGAGAGATAGAGAGAGAGAGAGAGAGAGAGTAACAGTAACAGTAGGTCCTTAACATTATTCGGCACTCCAATTGCCGGCGCCGGACACGCACGGAACGTCCAGCCGAAGCCAACATAATATAAGAAGGACGACCATCGATCGCCGACGTCATCGGCTCCCTCGGTCGCGGCCCAAGGGGAGACGAAATCAAGGCTGACCTTGACCCCAGGGGCTCCTACGTGGCCCGACGTCACGAATTACGCCGTCGTATTGCCTGGCCGCGAAAAGCGAACGCGACGTCATTAAAGGAGCGGAGGGCGAGTGGTTCGCGTGCGCCGGGAGCTTATCGCAATTGGCGGCTGCCGACTTTAATTTAAACCGCCGCCGCCGCCGCCACGACCGCCGTCGCCGCCGCCACGACCGCCGTCCCACTGCCATCGTCGCACGTAGATTTTCCCATCGCGTGTAGGCCGCGATCGCCTTCGGATCCGAGATCGATCGGACTTCTGATCGCCAAGGGATCGCCTTATCAGCCTCGCGATTCGACGCCTTAATGATAAATTGAATTTTTTAAATACGCGGTTCACGCATATGTCTTTAAAAGAAAATATAATGATAAATTAAAATTAAACGGCTTATGAGAATAATAATAGGAGAATTTTTTTAGTTTCAGAAATAGATGATTTAATAAGGCTCCTATCGTTAAGCTCGATTCGTTGATAATAAAACTCTATCTAGCCATGTCAATTATACATTTGTTACCACAAAAATATGCCAAATACACATATTTTTAGATTAACTTTGTTGAAAGTAATTGCTAATCCCGTAAACAACTATTATCTACCTGTAAATTTAAATATTAAAGAAAATTACTTGGAGCATTCGTATTCAATGTTTGATTATGTATTTATGTATAGTAGAAAGAATGGGGTAGGGGGTGAGTTTTTTTTTCTTCAAATTTTCATAATTCTAAGTTATATAAATAAATAAATATATGTTTTCAAGATGAACTGAAACGCACAAAATGTAGATGTACTTGTTAGAGCAATAAAATGTAAAATGTTTTGAGGTCAACGTTATTATTAATGCGAATGACACATAATATTTTGTTGATTATTAGATACTTAATATTCTTTTCGAAAACTTTGAACATTTTTAAGATACATGTGTATAATATTTTGAATTTCAACGAAGAAACGAAATAAACAATTGCGCTTTATAAATAAAGTCCTCGTAACATTTTTATATGATTGAATATTTTTATATTTTAAAGTGTTGAAATATCGAAAGCTTTTCAATTGAAATAACTGAAGGCTATGCAATATAAATTACATACAAATTAATCAATCATCTCATTAATAATACGACATCACTTTTTTCATACATCTGTATTTACATAAATAATATAAATATTCGTGGGTTTAAATACTTGAAACTGCTTCGAAGCACATCGTTACAAAGTTAGATTACCTTTATTTGTAAAGAAAAAATCTTGTTAATAGTATTGCGTGAAAAATGGAAATTTTTTTATTTTTCAACAGCGTTCGTTAAGAAAAACAATTTAATAATTTTAAAGCCGAAACGTGGTGAATTTTATATGAATTCAAAACTCATTTTATCACGAAACGCAATGACAGATAATTTATTTATTTCAATTTTCTAATTTAAAGATCTTTACAGCATATGTTTATTCACGAGCATATTGTTAAGTAAATTGGAAATGGTTGGATGATTAAATGACCGTTGTATTCATTTCCTAATTTGCATGTGAAAATTATCATTCACGACGCAATATACATTTGAATAAAAAAAAAGAAAAAGATGAAATTTTCAATTTATGCGAAAGTATGAGAAGTATATTCTCATAAGGTTTATTTATGTTTTAGAAGGAAAAGATAAATGAATACAAACAACCATCCAACGGCTACAGAAATACGAATGTAACTACTTTGTCAGACTACTAATTGTAGCATTTAGTGTATTTTGTAATCTATCGTAGACATCCAAGTGTAGAAGTATTGGAACAGATAATAGACTACTCTAATCTGTCAATTCTAATCAATTCATTAGCATCGACATCGCAAGTGTTGCATCGCAAAACAACACGAAAAATGCACATTTGCGCATGAATCGCACTACATGAAAGTCACGCTACATTCGTACATTTAATGTCGAATGTTCCGTAATTGGTGTTGGTGCATTAAAGTAGATTATTTTACTCGTTCACCTATTTGGACACATGAACTGTAAAGTAAAATGTAGTGAATAAATAAATGAGTATATTTGGATTAGTATCTGAAGGTTTTTAATTGCAGTAGAAATCACATATAAATTTAGTGGAGACGATAATTTGACTCATCAGAAATTGTAATTTTTATGCAAAAAAAAAAAAAAAAAAAAAAATTAATTATGCATACGTGTTTCCGATGCATTAGTGTTTCAGTACACATACCACTTAAAATTATTCCATTTCTCTATAAATATCATTAATATGGTCGAATATATTTTTTGGCCGTTACACGTTATCCAAGAACACGAGAAATTGCTTCGTTTAATAAAAATTTAGCTTCGTAGCATCCAATTGTAAACAAAATACAAGTTTAATGAAGAGGCTCCTATAAATTTATTATCTATCTTTATTATTATTCGCTATTGATAAAAGAAAATTTTTCATTAAAATATTTATTTATTTATTTATTTATTTATTTATTTATTTATTTATTATTATTATTTTTTTCAATAAGTAACACGATAGATAATAACGTAAATTTTTAAAAAGTGGAAGGTAACGGTAATTCAAAGGTAAGAATAGAATAGAAGTTCATACGAATCTTATACGAATATTTATTTTTATACTAAAAGAATAATATTCGTGTATAAATAGTATGAAGTATATTTAAGGTGCATGATGTTCAAATAGTAGGGAATCATAAATGTTGCGTATAATAAACATAAAATAAAAGATCGATATAATCTATTTCATTGATTGGCGTTTGCTCTCTAATTTCTACTGGATAATTATAAATTCGCTGAAAGAATTTTGTCTGTAAATTTTATTAGAATGACCTCTATATCAATAATATTTATATAATAGTAGGCTAGAAATAATAATAATAGAGTACATTGTGAATACAGAAAATTATGCGTAAATATTAAGAAATAACAATCTTGTAAGTAATCTCGGAAAATAGGAAACAAAAGGAAGAGAACAATCTATTTAGTGTTTATTATGTATTTAAAAATACAATTGTCCTTGCTTGTTTCTTAATGAGATAAAATCATACGTGTATGGGTGAGGAATGTTACATTCAATCAGTAATTGATTTAAATAATGATGGTCAAGGTGAAATCGTTAGATTTATAGATAGAAATAATTTCTGATTTTCAGATTTTTTTTATCACTACAATTTCAATCTATAAATAACAACAAGAGATATAGTTAAATATTTAATAAAGTTCTCATACAATTAATTTAATTATTCAAATACATAAATTCGTAAATACATTAATATTATGAATCTGCATAATAATAATAATAATAATAATAATAATAATAATAATAATAATAATAATAATAGTAATAATAACAACAACAATAACAACAAAAACTAAAAGTTTTTGTCATAAATGCTATTATTGAAAAATAAGTGAAATATAATATAATGCTTTTCTTCGTGACTATATCAATCTGCTATTTATAATATTATCGTAGTAGAATTACAAAATTAATACTTATCAATTTATAGTTTTCAATAATAAAATAAAGAAAATGAAAGCTACTTTTTTTCGTATATTCCAAGGCAAATGTAATTAAATTAATCGTAGAAATATACATCACGGAGCTTTATGTAAATCTAGCATGAAATATTTCTTCCTTCTATTCGCTTCTCAATATACATCATTTAATTAATAGCAAATGCAAGATGATCAATAAATAGATATATACATATCAATTAATTCGCTACCGAGATTAAATGTTTGATAGGGATTAATAAATTGATGATGTCCATGTTACATGAAGAAGTTTGTACGATCGTATATGTTGCAAGAGTCCTTCAATTGTCGATTAAAACTTTTGATTATTTAATAATTAAACGTCTAATTGCTTTATATTAATAATATTAATAAGTTTTACATTCTAATAGTACAACTCGCTTAATTAGCTCTTTTTTTTTTTTTTTACTGATTACAACATTTTTAATAGAACGAAGATGGCTGCTACTAATTGGAAGACGGAATATGTATTAATTGTAGATTCACTATTTACTGGAACAAGAAAATGTCTATTATAATTTTAATGTAATATTTTATCATACAAATTGTTAAATTAATCGATATTACCTATTAATTTCATATTCATATAAATTCGACTATTTCACATTTATTTCAAGGATTACAATTCATTTAATGAAGCTATAATATTATTCAAATGATAGTATATTAATTTAAGAAAGGACGATTTTTTTTTTTTTTTTTTTTTTTTTTTACAAACATATAGCAATTTATTTACATAATTTATGTGATTTAGATTGATTTAAATCGCTGGAAAAATTGTGTATAAAAGATCGAACACGAGAAGTTTATTTATAAAAAATAATTCTTTTTTAATTTATAATGAATTTATAAATTTAACTTGTAAATTGACTTTATAATTTCTCGTTTAATTGAAAAAATCAAGCGCTTAATTATTTTATTATTATTATTTAGGAGTACATAGAAATTATTTTGAACAAAACAAGGAATAAAATACTTTCTTTTTTTTTATCTACACTACTTTCGATTCTTTTCATTTTCAATTATTCAAATTTTTACATATAATTAAATTGGGCTTCTAATTATTAAAAATAAGCTCTGGCAAAACAGATTGATTTAGCATCCAAATACTTTTACTTTAATTACTGTGGTGATAGAGATTACTTATTTTCGCTTTACCTTCATTTCGTTATAATTATAATAATGCGTAGACAATTTTTCCCCCATTTAAATTACGTTTTTCTAAACTAATGTAATACTTAATCGAACGTGGAAAAATTATTTGAGTGAGATAAAAATCTTTTCCTTAAACTCCTCGAATTGACGCTCATTATCTTAAAAATAAAAAACAATCTGACTTTGAAAATTGAAAACTTTGGTATTTTTTTTTTTTTTTTGGCTGCATTATGTTTTATACATACATTAACTTAGCAAACTTAGCCAATTTTTTGTCATTCAAGATTATCGTAACACGAAAAAGAAATGTTTCTTTCGCGTATACGTTTCAGCGAACAAAATAATAAGTATAATGATTATAAATTTACCTTGTCGACACTGATTACCTTCTTGCATATAATCAAAACCACACACGCACCTTCCGTTTCTACAAAAACTTCTCGACGATTCCACAAAACATTCGCCTTCTTTGGTGCATTCTTCGCCTAACCCTGGATTTTATAAAAAAGAAAATGCCATTCTGCCGTTATTATTTATAACCACACGGATAAATAATTATTCGTTTCTTACATTTCTTTTTAAAGCATGAATCCATATTATAAAAATAGCCAGGAATGCATTTACATTTACCATATTCGTTGTCGGTTAGATCTTTTAATGGCAGTTTATTGAAAGCGCAGTGTGTGTTGGGTATCACCGACGTGCATTGCACATCATACATGCATTCCTTTTCGAACGAAGCAACTTTAAAAGAAGATAATATGATAATTACACGTTTGATCATAACGCAGATATTCAATCTATAATAATTATAATGATAATATTATGGGATATAATGAAAGAAAGCTAAAATGTTTTCATACTTACTGGGAATGCATTCATTGTCGGGACTAGCGATGAAATGTTCTTTACATTTGCAAACATTCTTCTCCGAGCATGTCGTGTTACTTTGTTTACATTTGATATCAGCCGTACAAATTGCGTTTAAACCTATTTTCAATATGTAAATTAGCTGTTCGTTAGCCATCCCTTACTTTTATAAATATAGACAATATTTTAACTCCAATGCTTACCCGCTTGGCATAGTCCATCTAGAACAATATAATTCTCCTGGCATTTACATTTATTATCATTACAATATGAATAATCAAGCTCGCAATCTTCATTTTCTTCACAATAACTATCCAATTCTGTAATAAGTATTTAAGTACGATTTTACATATACAATGAAGTTAGCCTCCGGAGAATACGTTATAAATAATATATAATTACAAAAATCAGGCACATTTATTATTATAATCGAGATGCTTGCACTGCCCGACTATGCAGAGTCACGATACTTTTCTAATTGATAAGGCAGTTTTATCAATTAGAAATAGTAATGAAACACGAATAAATGTGTGGCACAGTTCGCTACACTCAACAGTAATCGTGAAAACCTCCCAGGCCTGTTGAACTTTCTTATTGCTACTCAACGCGAGCTTTCTAATCAGTCCAGAAGGACGTGTTAACATCAACGTTTGTCGAATAAAGTAGAATAGGCTTAACCTGGTTTATCACTGATGCAATAGCCCTTATCGGCACTATGGTGACTCCCGGTTGGACACGAGCAGAATCCTCCTGCGGTACTGCGATCGCAAAAACTTTGAAGCCCAGGACTCCGTGAGTAGCAGTCGTTTTGGCTCCAACATTGCTCGTTGATTTTTTTGTTTATCCAGCAGAATTTCTCGTCACTTAGCCAGTGGCTCTCTGCCCCGCAGATGCACTGGCCCTCGACGCAATGGGCCGCCGGACCAAACAATTGACACTGCTCGCGATATTGGCAACTGCTGCCAATTTTTTTTAATACTGAAATGGCATTAATTAGTTTAAGCGTTTTTCCAAAACATAAATTTTTACTTACATCTCTCTCTCTCTCTCTCTCTCTCTCTCTCTATATATATATATATATATATATATATATATATATATAAGTATCGCGTGGTTAGCGTAGGTATTAATAAGTTAATCATTTCAAACTTACTTACAAGTTTACATTATTTGTACATTTATCGCGCCTGTAATTTATATAATTTACAGTTTCACGATTATTCAATCAATATATAATTATGTATGTGATACTTTTTAATAAGTATCCATTGGTATTGATTACAAAATTTTACTTATTTATATACACTTGGACTTTTCATATGATGAATAATAAAATTTGATGAAAATTGATTTACATTTACGACAATCCTGATTGCTTTTTAAATTAACTCTATCAGCTTCACAAGTCCATGCTTCATCTTTGCAAACACTATATTTCACTTTGTACTTCTCATCGACCGAACCACACTTTTCCCCTATTTCTATATAAAGCAAAACATTGATATATTACTTTAATTCAAACGATAAAAAAAAATATTGAATTATTAACGTACCTGGAACGCAAGCATTAAGCTCCTCCGACCAAAAATGTGCCCGATTACACGTACATTTTTTATCCAATCCGCAATGAGAATTCACCAGTGACCTGCAGTCCGTTTTTTTAATGCAACGATTTCCCACGATTATCATTACCGTAGCAGATGCTTATGAATAAAAAACAAAAACAAAACAAAACAAACAATAAATAAACAAAAAAAAAAAAAAAAAAAAAAAAAAAAAGAAAGAGAAAGAATGAAAATTAGATGCAAATTCAAGGGCATTCTTCGTATTTTTAATTTATAAACGATTTATTATTTGATAAACGATATTATGCGGTAAGGTTCTTACTATTTTCATCATCCAGATCAAGCATTGGATCATAATTTAGCGATTCGTAGCTAAGTTCAGTGCTTTCTACAGAGCACTTTTGTGAAAGACATTTGGCTGCTTTATCGAACGAACAATCAGCATCTATGAGGCAATTATCTCCTAATTCTAAAAGGAAAAATTGACATATATGAAATATATTTTAAAAGAACCCTGATAAGAATATATCGCAAAAGTAAAAAAATTTTAAAGGAACATAAACATGTTGCGATATATACTTAAGTACTTTGTTAATTAATTTTTATATAAACTGCCAATGAATGTACAATAATAATTTTTTTTTTTTTTTTTTTTCTGGAATTTAAAAACATTATCATTTCACTTGGCCTGCAATTGACTTGCAATTAACTTATTGGTAATGAAATACTTAAATAAGATGCGCTCAATAATATTTGCATACAATACAATGTTAAAGGATATCGGCAATCAATTATTTTACTTTCATTAGTCAAATATGTATTTATAAATGTACTTTTAGCCGCACGACGACAAGTATTGTTCTCTCGCTGATAAAAATTCTCGCTACATTTGCAAAATCCATTTACGCACGATGCAGCCTGGTATTCTGCATATACAAAACAGTCTTCGTTCCTTACGCAGTCTTCGTTCAATCCTAAAAATTATTATTATTATTATTACCCATTGGGTTTTTAATTTTCATAGCAATAATATTTTGTATTTCTAATTTTAATTTAACGCGAACAGTGTAAAACGATTAATCAAATTTAATCAAATATGATCTGTTAAAATGCAGGACTTGCGGGGGAACAAAGTTTTATATCGATATATCAACTAAACATTAATTTGCGCAATTTTATTATATTACGAATGTATTACTTAGAACTATTATTTCAATTCTTTTATTTATTGAAACGTTGGGTTTTACCTTTCGACAAATGGCATTCTCCATGCAAATAATGATAACCATCTTTACAGTTACAAGTACCATTCGTGCAGATTCCACCAGCTTTGAGAAATTGTGAGCACTGTATGCTTTCTTCGCATTCGTCATTATAACTAATCGCAACTGAAAAATGATGATTCAACTCAAGTAAATTGCTAATTTAATTTACCCGACTAATCGATACTGTCAGACTCATGCCCTCCCGCTTTTTCAGCGATATTAAAAAATAATTTAAATTCATAGGACATTGTAAAATTGAGAAAGTACGCGAAAGCTGTTATTAAAAGTAAATACGTTATTAAATACCTTTCAAGCACTTGGTTAACGTTCCATCAATAATAAATGATACAGGACACCTGCAGTATCCTTCGAAACATTCTGAATTACTTATTATACAGTCAGCGTAAGTTGTACAAGACTGATTTGCGAATCTTGGCCATAATCTCTCATTTACATCAACTAACTTGTCATCTGTCAATACATAAAAAAAAAACATTCTAAATTCGAAGCAGCGAATTTTAATAAATCAATTCTCCGTTTTTTTTTTTTTTTTTTTTTTTTTTTTTTTTTTTTTTTTTTTTTTTTTTTTTTTGTAAATATCTACACATTCTAAATCGTTAAAGAGCTCATTAAATTAGACAATCGGCGTAATTAATGATAGTTAATATTCTGAATCACTCGTTTTTTATCAAATTGTAAAAACACTGATATTTGTTTTAGTTATGTAAATTAAAATTTTCGAAGTTTTGCAATTTAATAATTTAATGCTTGTTTAGTTTTTTTTCTTAAATTATTTTAGTTTTATTTGCTCATTACATCTTTACAATTATCTAACACAATTAACTACATTATCTACAATCTTAAATGACATGGATATTTTACATATTTCAAATAAATCATTAAAAAATTTTGTGTAAACGAAAGTAAGTATATTATATTAAATTATCTATGGCAGTGGATTGAAATAATTAAATATATTATCACTTAATGGAGTAGTAAAATGTTATGACTTTTGAGATTAAATTAAAACGAATATATCTCTATATGAATCATTTACATTGAATATTTTTTATTATTAAATTATATATATATATATATATATATATATATATGAATATTCGATTATATAAAAGAAATTTTTAGACTTTATTTAACTAAAATGAGAATACTAACGAAATCTATAATAGAAATTCTTGCGCTTAAACAATAAATTGTGTTATATATGAGCAACAAACTTGAATACTTTTATCAGTTACTACTATGTTTCGTTTTATTATCTCAGTGTTTATGTATACTACTTATCTATATATTGATTTGTCTTTGATGTCACATTTATAAGTAAATTGATAAACGACATCTTGATTTTAAATAAAGTAATTCATTTTTTGAATTAAAAATACTTAGATCAAACGGAGTTTCAATGTGAACTGCAGACTTTTCAAATTTGGAAAATAAGTTTAAGAATACTGTGAGTTTTATTAGATATATATATATATATATATATATATATATCGAATATATCCTGTGTCAAATCGACTGATGCTCGCGCGAGTAGCAGATAGTTCTCGCGTGACGATTCGCGCGAATGCCGAAGTCACCACTGTGATTAACGTCTGTTTACATCGATTCCTTCGCTTCTTTTTCTTTCGTTGTTGGGAAGAAGATTAAAGCGTCGGTGACACGCTTCGGTTCTCACCAAAAACAACAATTTCCACTCCTGTCACCAAATGTGGTAATTTTTATCGAGGCACTGCGGTTTCTTCTTCTTTCTTTTAATATTTCTTTATAATTTACTTTAGAATTTTCACTCTAAATTTTCAACTTCTTGCAATTTCGCTCAGATTTAGCTTCTTACTTCGCGCATTTTACTTCAACTGCATTTAATTTATTTCTTCAACACCATATTTATTCGTATGCCTTACGAATAATAGTATGAAATTTAAATTATAATAATAAAATTGAACGATTCTATTCTCTCTCACTATCTCATTATTTTGCTTACTAGCTTATCTTAACAATTGTTGCTTTCAATTTAAGAAGTATTATGATTAGAAAGTAGTAAATCTACTAGAATTTATCATTAACATTAAAACAAACTACTTATTACCTTTTTATTAAGATGTAAATATTTTACTTTCTATTAATACTGAAGCATTTAGAACTTTATACTTTTATAAGGAAGAATGCAAATTTTCAAATATTTGACTTTGATATAATCTCATTATAAAATATAATGTACTACAATTATTATTTAATAACTTGAATTACAGTATGAAAAAATCGAAAAGTTTACCAAATACTTAATATAATGAAATATCGAGCATAATATTTTATAATATCATAATTTAATAAAAACATTAATTTATTTACAGTTTGTGTGAAACTTTAACTTCCCAATATATTATATAATTCCGAATGTTGCAATAAATTTTTATAAATAAAGGACATTGATAATGTAATGATAAAAAAATTTATCGTCTTGTACTTAACCTATATTTTTCTCATAAATTATACATTGTCATATCTTAAAATTACCAAATATTATATTATTTATATTTTTTCATACTAAAAATACAAGTTTTCATTAGTTTTCATAATAACAGATAGTCGTTTAAGTCGAATTTTATAATGTTTATAATTTAATTTTAATATTAATATGTGTACATTACCACTGAAGAGAATATTGGAATAAGTCGATGGAATAAAGAGAAGAGAAAAAATTAACTCGAGAACAGACATGTTCTTACTTTATTGAAATATTGACTGATTTCATATGAAAGACGAATTTATCAATCACCTGTTGCTGTTAGGATATTATCAGTTAAGATATGTAATACCTGCATTGTTATCTCTTTCGAATTCTTACAACATAACTAATTCCTATATCTTTAATCGAAACAAACTATAAATTAATTGTTTATTTCAAATCTTGTTATTCATATTATTTTTAGAGCGTATTGAATAATATATGAATGCGTAAAATGAAAATTTTGTTATCATTATTAAAATGTTTTTGATAATGTATTTATTATTAAAATAGAAAATATAGATTCTATAAGATAAAAATTTTACCGAAAGATATAACATTAATATACTTCTATTATATCGAACCGACTTATAGAAACAATTTTATTTAAATACTTTTTTTATTTTATCATTGATTATTTCATACATTATATAAAATATTTTGATAAAGTGTTCATACTTTTCTCGATACTTAAAATTGTTCTTAAATATATTAATGCATTTGTATACTTATATAAACGTAAATAAGAGTATTTAAAGACAACAAGAAGCACTTATAAATTTATAAAATATTTAAAAATACTGAGATTAAATTAAACTTTGAGAAATTCGTTATAAATTATAAATTAGTTATTTTATATAAATACAATTACAACAATCATTTTATAAATTATATAATTAATTAATTATTTCTAATATGTTTGATGAATATTTAATAATGAATGATAAATGGGATGAATTAATGCTAAAAGTGTATCCTGAAAGTAAATAACAAAATTTTATAATATAATTTGGCACGTAATTTATGAACAAATAATTTAACAATATTCAAAATATATTAAATTTGTAAATATTAAATTGTAGATATTATTAGATACTCATTATTTATATCTATGTATATTATAATTTTGTGTTTGATATAATTTTATGTTATATATTTTTAATTTAATTTTTTAAATATCACAATATATTTAAAAACATTATATGTACATTTAATTATTTATTATTTATCATCAAATTATTTTTTTTAAATTTTACTCAAATGCATAATTACTATTTTAGTTTCTTTTAAACTTTTCATACAGAATACTAAATCGTATAAATTATTTTAATTTATTAAGGATATTTATTAGAAAATCTGGCATATAAAATTTACAAATATAATTTATAGATACAATAATATCAATATCTTATATTTATGCATAAAATGCAGAATTTTTTCCTTTTAAATATTTTCATTTATATTATATATATATATATATATATATATATTAACAATTATTTAAAATCATTTGCATTAGAGATAATAGTAATTAATACCAATGAGAAAAGTTACAAATAGCTATTTATCAATAAATTGCCGGCATAGTAAAATTTATTATCAATGTTAATATAATTATTCTTAAAATTATATTTTTAATACTGTAAATAATTATATAATGATTAAATAATGAAAATAATAAACAATACTAAGTATCACTATGCTTAATAAAGAAATTATTTTCATGTTGAATATTGTTATTTTTGAATAATTAATTCAAGCTAAGTCGCACTTATTAATATATTTAAGAATTTAATATCTTAAATATGGATAAATAAAATTTTAATTTATTTATATTCTGAACACATGACTGTTTCAATTTATCATAATAAAGATACGTTTTAACTTTTCCGGGCACATAAACGTTAAAAAATTAAAAAATGAGATGTAATAATTTTTTTTAATACATTGCAGGTGTATCAGTACAAATTTATTTTTATCACTATTATTTGATTCATTTGACGTAAAATGTATAATTACATCCTTAGAAATTGTCAGTAAAAGAATTTATGATACATTTAATACAGTCGATATTAGTGGTCTAATAACTTACTGCAAATCGTGAAATTTTACAGAAGCAATGTTAAAGTCCTAATGTATTTGAACTTTTGAACTTTGCAAATATTAATCTTTATTGGTATTGAAACCTCATACAATTTACATAAAATTCTTATGAATGGGAAAATGCTCGTTTGGAGGTCAAAAAAATTTGTAAGTGAAGGAGGAGCACAATCGGTAAGAAAGCGGAGAAAGTTGTGGTGACGACTCAACTATCTTAATCACGTAACTGCATTTTCAGAATTTACCTAATTCAAATCATTATTAAAAAAAAAAAAAAAAAAAAAAAAAATATATATATATATATATATATATATATTAGTTATAAGTTAATAAATTTCGATAAATAGCTGATCATTTCTATAAAAGAGTAGTGGCGATTAAAATTATTTCAATATTCATGATTTCCTAATGACTAACGGCCCCAATTCTTTGATAAATAAATGTATATCTTTTTCTAAGAACTTTTCAATATGTATGTGTATAGATATATGTGAAGAAAAAAAAAAACATCTTACAAAACATGTTATTCAAACTTGTGATTTCTTTTCCACTTAATATGACATTCGAATAAAGATGAAACGCCAATATTTGAATAAAATATAATTATACAAAAATAATAAATGCAGCAAAATCATGTAAAATTTTATATACAGTGAACAATACCTTCAAATATACCTTACTCTTACATCACATCTGTTCAATTTTGATAATAGAAAACCATTGAAATAACATCTTATCATCATTTTCATTAAGTTTACTATTAATTATAAAATATTTAAGTGCCGAGTTATTTTTAAATTAAACAATCGATTAATACATATGTAAGAACGTTATTTTAAGACATAATAAACTATTATAATATGATTTTCTGTAAATTTCTGCGACGTAGGCGACCCACGATTGATAAGAATTTGACCCGATGACGTTTCCACCGACTATGATATTATGATACAACAAAATATCTAGTGGACTGAGAGCAAGCAACAGTTTCAAAGCGACGAGCCAAGATGAAGGAACAGTGGAAGAAGTTTGATAGCGATGGTGAGAGAGTTGACAATAGAGTTTAATTTATAACTTAATTAATTGTTTATATGGAGAAAAATATGAATTACAACATGCTGCAATTTGAAATATCAGCTGTAAAATTATATTTGTAAAGTAAACAGCAATATATATGTTTTGCGCGTTTGAAGTATACTTTATTAAAAAATAATTCATCTTACTGTAATCAGAGAAAACATAGCGTCAAGCATTATATAAATAAACAAATTTGTAGCGCTTGTAGTGAAAACATCGTGATCATAATAATAGTTTTGCGTGATTAATTTAGTCAATGTTTTTAGTGCGCTCATTCGATATATTGGAGTATACGAAATCATGTTTTACCTTAATATTAATAAAATGAAAAGAGGATATTTATACGAATTAATATTATTTATTCAAATGTTCTTGTTCGTTGATGTTTTTGAGCATTGAATACACTGATAATTAATCATGTATTGTTCTCCAATTCTTTGCTTTCGTGCATCTATCGAATTAACAAAAAATTTAAATTTCTTCATACTCTTAAATATGTTTAAATATTAATTTGCAACAATTATCTAATATTATCCCAAATAATATATGAGATTTCACGCTAATTCTCATTGACTAATTCAATCTAATATTTACACATACACGCACACGCGCAAACGCACGCAAAATCTTATTTATTATTATATAAATATTTTTATATCTACATGTAATAATATATACAGCGCTTAGTATATATTTTTTTATAGCATTCATTTGTACTTATACGAATTATAATAAGATAGAGAGAAAGAAAGAATACAATTAAATTAATCTCATATGTTAAATGTTATTTAATTTTTCATACTAAAACTAACTCAAAAGCTATCGTAGAGATAATCGTCAATTAATAATGTTCTAATGACTAAATTTTTTATTATTCATAGTACGAGTCATTTCGTAAAATTTTTAAAAGCAGCATTTTTTTATTTTTTTTATTTCAGCTGATTTATTGGTGCACGTGGAAGAGGGCAAGACATTGCCAATTAAAATCGAATTTCCAATATCAGCATTTACTTCGAGCATGAATTGCTGTAGAATATTACTCAGCAGCTTAAGAATCTTCGTCTTTTTAGGCTTCTTACTAATCCTAGGTTGGACTGCTGCGGCTTTATATGCAAACTATTTTTCAGTAACAAAACTCAAGTCAGAAAAATATGCAATTATTAGCGAGCAGCCCTTATATAATAGTCAAGTTAATAAATTATCCGTTCGAAAGGATACGTACGAAGGAATAAGCAAAAGTGCGGATGGTCCTGCAGAAAATATTATTAGTATCACCACCGTGTCTACTCGTCAGATTCACCATAATAATGTTTATGTAAATCAACAGGGAGTCGGTACGAAGCCTTTGATTTCCAATGATCAGAATGTCAACGCGTCAAAATCTCCTTCAGATACTAAAAATTTCGATAAGACCGAGTCCTTTGTTAATTACGAAGACTTAAAGCAGGATAATTTACAAAATAGTAATAATGAATTTAAAGATGAGATTATTGAAATATTACCCACCATCGTGCCAATTACGAATAGTGTTAATAGTGAAAATGATATAATTGAAGATAATTCAAATAAATCGGCGGGTGAGATTGATAAGGTGTTTGAGGTTATTCAAAACTTGTCAGAAATTGAGAGTGCAGATATTGTAGGAAATTTATTATTGGAAGAAATTATAAATACCGTTTTGAGCAATTCGATGAGTCACGAGGACACGGAATCTCATGAAAAATTGATATTTGATAATGAAGGGGAAATTGATAGCTCTGAGGAGAAATTGGAAGGAAATAACAACAAAGGCAGTAGTGAAGAGTTAGAGGATATAAATGAAAATCGCGAAAAGATATCATTAGAATCAGACATATCTAATCAGGATAATTCGTTTCAAACTAAAGATGAAATAGAAGATAATAGTGATGAGCAAGTGTGGTCTATTTTCCAAGAAAGTTCAAATGATTCGAATGAAAATGATAAACGTATAGACGAAGATAGCCTATCAGCTTTTGATCATGTGGAAAACAGTGATAATGAACAAATCAAAAGTTTTTTTCGGGAAGAATCCGATTCCGAAGAAGAGCAACAAAATGAAGAAGATGATAACGTAGAAGATGAAGAAGATGATGATGATGTTGATGATAATGATGATGACGAAACAAAGAGGAATACTAGCGATGAGAGTACATATCAATTAGATAAAATTATGAACGAGATTGCTAATAGTTCATTTTCCGATGAAATTCTTTCCGATGACGAATTAAAAACCATTGGTATTGAAAATTTACCAAAAGATGAGGAATTACATAAGAAGATTTACGAATTATCTCAAAAAAGTTTTCCACTCCTGGCTGAGAAATTATTACCTATCGTTAATGAAAATTATGAGCTACTTGTTTGGTACTATAATGATAAAGATAATTCAAATTTATTCAATGTGCTTGACAAATTGAAAGCTTCTACAGCTAAACTACTATACAGTACAAATATTCGTGAATTTCTCGACGATTTGAATGCAGTGATAGATCTAATAGGACAAGATTCTTACAACACGGACAGCATAGATCCTTTAGATGAAAAAGACAATAAGATTAAGAATTATATAATACATAGATTATCCAAAAAGATGGATATGTACAATTTTGTTATAAAATACCTTCAGTATGACAGGATTGCTACGTTAATCCTAGAGGCGCTTAATAAGTCAGAGCTGAGTCAACGAAATTATGAAGATTTTGAAATTAATGAATATCTTGCAAAGGTATTTGAAGAGGAAAATATGAATGATGAAATGATAAACGTAGAGGAGCCAATAACAGAGAATTACAACGTCTCAAAGAGACAAAGCTTAAAACTTTTAGAAACTATAAAAAAATTAATAAATATGAATGATAACCTTTCGTCCGAACAACTTCTTAGACACAATAATGAATTGCAAAAACATTATTTAAAATATTTAGAAGCAACTACTACGGATTTAGATGAAATAATGAAGCCGATCGTGGGTGAACGGCAAACAAGTGCGTTTATTAATGAAAGTGAAGGTAAATCAGAAGTGGTAACGACCGAAAATGTAAACGTGGAAAAATTAGACAAGTTGGAAGATGATTTGGAGAAAAATTTCGAATGGCTCATTAGATCTGAACAACTTCATGATTATAATAATGAAGGCATTGCTGATACACTGTACTATGATGCAGCCGATCAGTATTATGATTGGTCATTGTAAATTATTAACCGAATTTTTGTTTTAATACAATAAATAGGAGATACAAGAAGAACTGATTTAATTAATATACTTTTTGTACTATAATCAATATATAATATTCGTAATGCATATTTATTTGTGATTCTGGAGGCGCATGGATATATAACAACATTATACTATACATATAAGATTATATTGTTAAATAAAGTTGTTTTGATATTGATAGTATAATGGACAAATTGACCGTGTACTTAATGGCGTGCCGAGCGTATTAACTTTATTCAAGTTATGAACAAAAATTCAGGCTGCATATCTGTTGAGTTCAACTTTTAAAATAAATATGTCAAAAAGAAATTTTGCGTTCACGGTTGTATAGGCCGTAGAGAACTTAGAGCTCTAATAAATACAAATATTCACGGACTTGATTCAATATTTTACACTTTTTTTTTTTTTTTTTTTTTTTTTTAATTACTAATGGTTAATAACAGCTGAGAATGCAAATTCGTGACGTAATACAATTGTTAACCAAGTGAGTAGAATTTAATTCGACGTAAAGTTGTATTTCTTATTGAGTTCACTTATATTAAGATATGGAAGACCGAGAACGTAAATTAAGATTTAACGTAGTGGCTTTAATAATTAAAAATTGTGAGGTTAGTAATTGTGAGGTGTACCACCGGTATAAATAATTTAAAGATTTAGCACAGACTTTTTCAAAGTTTTTAAATACTTTTTTTTCATCTTCAGACGTTCCCATTCTTGTGCGTTTATTTTTTTTTTTTTTTTTTTTTTTTTTTTTTTTTTTTTTTTTTTTTTTAGTAACAATGACATAAAAAAATTTAGAGCAATGTTTTTGAAGTTTCGAAATTTGTATTTTACATTAGAAATAAATCTTAAGCCTACATGTAATTGATAATTATAGCTGTAATTTACTCATAGTATACTATTAAAATTTTGTCATATTTAAATATTAATATAATGAATAAATTCTCATAACACTGCTATTGCAGTGAGTTTAAGCCTAAGTTATTTTTCTAATTTAAACCATAATATGTAATGATAAAGTAATTAAAAAAATTTTCTTTTATCGCAAAATGGAAAGGAAATTTTAATTGATAAATTATGATAAATTGTAGATGTATTGAAATCGTTTGCTATGCCAAAATCAAAGTTGAATTCGACATGATTAATTTTAAATTATCAATAAATGTCTATTGCAAAGATTTAAATGATGAATGTTTATATTCAATAAAGTAAATTTTAAAATTATCATGTAGATTTTATAAGATACTTTATTTAATTCATTTTATCTAAATTGACGAAGGTAATTCAAAAGTCATAAATGAAAATTCTATATATGATGATTTTAATACAATCTGAATGCATAATTCAATAAAAAAAATTTTTTCACTCATTCATTAAAAGCAGTAAGAATTCAATTGAAAAAAAAACATGTTATAATTTGTAAATCCAATAATAAACTAAGAATGAAATGTTATAAATAAATTAAGAATAATATAAGTATAATAAATACAGCGTAATATTTACTTAAACGAAGCCAATTATTGTTCGCTTTGAAATTAAACTATTCGATGAGAAAATTATCATTGCAACCTTACGACAGTGTATGACTTAACAAAAATTTTGCTTTGATTAAATATAATCCGAGAATCTGATCGTTCGAAAAAAAATAAAATTAACCAAAATTAAAAGACACTTTGTTGTATATCATTGACGTATTGTTAGGTAATATAAATATTGTTGAATTTAAATATTTGCTTTTATTACGGAACTTAAAGATCGAATTAAACCATAAGTGATTTAATAATCTATTATTTTCAGTCTTAAGAAGCTTTTACGTAATTGTTTACTCTCTGTATTGTTACTCTTTTTATAAATTTTCAATTAATAGTCAGTATAATTGAAAGGTTACGTAATTTTGTAAACAAAATACCTACTTCGTGCTATTTTGACGCACAATTTATAATTGTGAAGAAAAAAAATCATTATTAAAAGCAATAATTGTATTCGTTAATTGTCAATACTTTAATTCTTATCCGAATGTTAAACAAATGTTTGATAAAATTTTGTAGCGCACATTATGATGTAATAAAATAACGAATTGACGCAGCTTACGTAACAAGTTATTATTAGCACGAGAAAAATATGTAAATAAATAATTCATAAGAATTGCCAATTTAATAATTTTAAAAGTACTCTAGAGCAAAGGAACATTATTCCCACCAACTGAACAAATATCTTCACAATGCTATGAATTATCATTTTATTGCTTATTAATACGCTGAAGGCACTTACAAAAATATTTTTCAACGCCTGCCAAAGATCATTCAACTCCTTAATTAAAGCAATTAATACACAACTTACAAGAGAGCCATTTTACTTCCACATCATTATATAAAAAACAAAGTGAAGAAAACATAAACAGAAAAAGTGGATTGCGAGACTGAGTCACGTTTTCTTTTTCTTATGCTCGGCACTAAATAAATAAAATTTTATGCATTGCAATGGTGCATGACAACGCCCCCCGTTCGATCGCAATAGCGTTGTTCGGCACTTCCAATTGGGCCTTCTACATTCCAGAACCGCGACAAATGGGCCAAATCATGCAGGGCCCCGGTGGAAAAATCATTCGATGAAAGTAATGTCGTCGTCATGAATCCGGATGGCGGGAACGCGGACGGAACAAAAAAACAACAACAACAACAACGACAGAATTAAAAGGGCCTTACGATCCAGTGACACACATTTTTTTTACTCGTGCCGATATTAACGATGAGTGCGGAAGCGCACGTACAACCAATTGCGCGGCAAGTCCGCGATGCTGTGCAAGCGAGATAGAGATTGACCTCACGGCATTGATAACGTATGACCCCGCGGGGATTCTCGAGCTTCTAGAAATGTCGACGAGGAGCGAGTCGCGGAGCAAAATCTCGCCGTCAGCCGCATCGAGCTCGTGGAGAGTCGGTCCAAGAGAAAATACGAGCCTCAGTAATAAACACAGTGGCGGTCGCGACGAGACAAGGATTTATGAAATGAAAATCCCATTGCACAACTGCAACGGTGAGTATTGTGACTGTCGACGAGGAAATAGTCGTGCTTATCTCGATCCTCTTTCTCTGTTTTTATATATAATTTTTCTTGCCCGGTAGCTTATCGTCGACGCACTTTTTTTTTTTTTTTGAGCTTCGCGCACAGCGAGCGAGCTTTTTTTCGGCCGTCCGGCGTACAAGTGCATTTGAAAACAAAGTTGCAAATTCAAGCCACAGTACAGTGACGCTTTCTATAAATTCATTGAACGTGCGTTAATATTAGTTTACACTTCAATTACGTCTGCATTTCATTATAAGAGAATGAATGAGAGTTACGGTAATGAGGAATTATTCATTTTACCTGCACAACAGTTACTCGTCGCTACGTTTTCAGAACAAACTCAAGGCGAATTTCAATAAGCTTGAACGCCATTTCTCATTCGTATTAATATTTATGTCACATTATTCATCACTTGATTTATATAATTTTCACAATATTTTTAACGATCTTTGACGCAAAGCGTCGATGGAATGTTAGATCGTTAGATCAAATTTCGTATAATCACGGTTTCATTCAAACTTTGTTCGATAAATTGTAAAAAAAAAAAAGAAAAAAAAACCCCAAAAAAAAAAGAAAGAGAGAAAAACAACTGAAAAAAAATTGAAAAAATTGCTGCTCGTTTCGTTAAGCTGACAATTCTGCTTTCGTGACTTACAGAACTGTGTTTTGTTTTCTTTTATTCTAAAGGAAAACCCTTCGCGATCGAGGAAGGCCCGTCATCGATTCAAATAAGCCATGCAAATGGAACTCGGCGTGCGACGAATTACTTTAAGCTCTTTAAATGGTTCGTTGCCATAAACATTCTAATTTTACTGCTATTTTGCGGTTATGCTTTGTGGAATCTTTATCAACTTGAAAACGCATTGCAAGCGAGGGAGGATGCGATTAATCTCAATAGATATTTCGACAGATATGACCCCAACTCAATAAAGAAAACAACAACAATCGGGGACATCAATGTCGCAGACTTTGACAGCAGCGTCATCATATCGGACTTCCACGAGTGGCAACAATCCATCCTCAGCAATCTCGAGAATCTTCAAGATGACGTGTCCTATAACCTGAAGTTTCTACTTCACACTATTACGAGTATCGTGAAGAACTTCGCGAATAATGATAAAGCCAGGACGATAGGTCGAGTGCTCGTTGTTCAGAATATTACGAATTCGTCAATGCCGAATGGCAAGCTAATAACCGCAAATTTAACCGACTTTGAGATTCATATTCTCAAAGAGTTTATAAATTTGACAATGTTGGAGAATAAAGGGATGAGGAGGTCAAGGTTTACGAGAGCCCCGAGGAATAATAATATCGAGACGGCATGTAACTTTCAGTTATCGTTCGACGCGAAGGATGAAAAGCTGATTAGCTTATCGATCAAATCTGATGAAAAAGATATGCCGATAGGCATAAACAATGACATTAGTAATTTGTCAAAAAATGATAACAAAGATGATCTTCGTAAATGCATTATCAATATTTTATACAAACCCTTTAATAGACTGTAATTATTATATAAAATTATCTTTAAATATCGACGATTCTTGAATATGATACTCCACGTTGTTGTATCAAGCACAATTGTAAACGTACAAATTAAAGAGACGACTTTTGCTCCCAAAACTTAATTCAAAACAATATTCTTAATTGACAATTAAAGACTCTACTTCAAACGATATTGAAGCGATAAAGGAGAACAGAAATTATATTCATTTGGTTATAAAATATACGTTGACTTCCCACTCATCCATGCTAATATAATAATTATTAAATTCATTTGGAATCATTTAAACTTAAAATCTTTCGATTAATTTGTACGAAACATAAATAATAAACGATAATTGTAATGTGTAACTTACTGTTAAACAATAGTGAAAACGAACCAAAGATTAATCTTTTTATATTTTATTATAATAAATATATTAACTGTGTACCTGTATTTTAAATATTAATATGTGATTTTCTATCAATTATTTCATAATTTATAGTATTGTGTTACTTGTATTTTAATTTTATAATAATAATAATATATATAATGCTGAAAGTATTTTATCGAGTAAATTGTATTTTAGATCTTGGCACTCCTGTGATCACTTATAATCTTAAAATTCAACATAACATCTGCATGTATTCCATTTTATCTCGATATATATATATATATATATATATATATATATATATATATATATATGTATATGCACCTATATTAATATAATACATTCTTGTTATAAATAATAATATGAATATGATAAGATATTCATTTATACATTTTTTAAATGCTAAATAATGTAGATATATATTAAATTTAATACATCCATTTACTTACAAATATATATATATATATATATTACACCATTTCGTCTAAACTTTAGTTTAATCTATAAAAAATATATTTATTCTTAACGACATCAATATGTTCCATTCGATTATATTTTTATTGTGAAATGTAATCATTAACGCATTAATAACGAAGATACGAAGTATTGATTTACTGGCTACTATTACTTGCAAAAAAATTTTAACTTATTATTATTTTTCTGTAAATACTAGCTTTTTTTACAGAAGAAAAAAATGAAGATAATCCAATATATTTCCAATAACTGGAACATGAAAATACGTTAGGAAAAAAAATAATTATTATTATTAATACAATTTTCGAAAATAGCTCATAAGAAAATTCAATGTACATAAAATGAACGACTATCAATGCTTTCATGGCTTTGATATTCTCTTAATCTATTCGCACTTTTCCTCTCTCACTTTTCTCCACTTTAAGCACGAAAATGAGTACGCATAAAATTTATCTACAACACAAGATACTAAAAGAAAGTGGTCCAAACAGTGTCGTTGGTAAAAAGTTCGTAAAAGTAGTGTTAAGTGGCTGGCGTAAGGCGAAGGAACCTTGGACCATGACTTGCAGTAAAAATTATCACTAAATTAATTCTTTAATTTTGTATATCCATCGAATAAGTTTGTTATTAGAAAATTGTAAAAAAAAAAAAGTTAGTAAAATATTGGACCCTCACAGTCGTGAAAATTAATTTAATTGTAAATACTATCAAAATTATAGATATTTATTTGAAAATAGATTACATGTGTATTAATATAAATATGTATGTCGTTGATTATTTATTTCAATGGTAATAAAATATTACAATAATTTACATGTACGAGCGTGCGCTCGCGCACCTACGCTCGCGTTCCCGAGCTAATGCGTTAAATGATAAATATCTATATTTTATAATTTATACAAATTCATTTTATATCTTAATTACAACTGTGCTAGTATTATTTTTATATTCAAATAATACGAATAATTTCCATTAGGACAATTTTTATGATCAAGCATTAAATAAAACAAAAACAATAGTAAGGATATAATTTCAAATTTTATCACGAGTTTAGAAAAGTCAGACCCGAAAAATATAAACAGTTATCTAATAAATTAAAACTTAATTTACTAAACCCATTAACTATATTGGCCATTATATATATAATGATTACTTAAGTAAATCAGATTAAATCAGAAATTTTAATTTTAGAAATTAAATAGATAGATATAATCTTTAAAAACCAATTAAATTACCATTCATATATTAATAAATTTATTCAATTAATTTAAATTTTTTTCATATGATGTCACTTTCGTATTAATTCCAGTGATTTTTCAGAATTTATTTACGAATTTATGAGGTATTTTGACTTTAATTCTTTCTTATTATCATAAAATTTTATCGTTATAAACAATTAATATATTGTAATATGAGTTTTATATGCGCACGATTGTATTCATTTTTTTGCTTTTATATATTAAAAAATTTTATAACAATAATTCTGGAAATCGTCGATCGTTTTCAAAATTTATTTAGTATTGCATTATTTATTTTCAAATAAATCATCATAATATGATTGAAAAAAGGTATTTTCAATAAGATTTATCTTGAAAAGTATTGATAACTCATAAAACGTTTAAAGCACATTTAATTTTATTTATGAACGTAGCCGAAAAATGTAATCATTATTATATTAATAATTATACTATGATAATTAAATATCTTACATTAAATATATAATATCTTAATTATTATTAATTTGTCGAGAGTATATTCTTAATAGATTATATATTTAAATTTTACATTATCTTGCTGATTAATTAAATTACTATTATTAACAAATATCATTACGAAAAAAAAAAAAAAATAATTTTTTTTAATTAAAAATTAAAATTTCAATTTTAGATACTTATTATAATTTTTGTTTATATAACAATGAACATTATAATAAATACATAAACATATATTTTTTATACGTGTATTGATATGATTTTCATACCAAACAGTATATACATTGTATATAGATTATTATGAATGATTGAAATTCCAAGATTTATCGTTAATTCACATAAATTTTTTATACAATTTTATTATATTTTTAATTATATTTTAAACTTATTTCTGCGATTTAATAGGAAATTGTTATCATTATTAACGTTATAATTATTCTAAATTATGTATAATTTTCTATTAATGTAAAATAAAAGTATACTTGATTGTAATTGCATTTAATGATGCAATAAATGTTCAGAAATCATATTAATATTATAATTTTTATATAAAACATTAATTATATTTGTATAAAAAATATTATTTGTTATCGATTGTTTTGAATAATGTTTATTCCAATCATAATTTTGAATTTTCATATAATTTATATCGCAATGAATAATTTCTAATCTAATGATCATGTATTCATTATATATACTTTATTTTCTTGAACGAATTACATAAATTAAATGACTAGAACATTCGTATCTTGCAATAACACAATTATACTATTTATACAATGACATTTATAGTATTTATAAATATCATAAATATTGTGAAATGTAAATTATGTAAAGATATTAATATTTTTCAGATTCGTGTAAGTGTAGCTGGAACTGTGAAAATTAGGATAATAAAAAGCAATTCCGATAATATGTTGACAAAACTTTTAAATTTCATTTTAAGATTAATTATATGTAAAGGCTTAAATATTCAGGAGATTGATATTTCAGCAATTTAATCCTCAAAATCGTCCTATATCGCCATATTTACTTTTCTGAATCTTTGAATTATTTAAAATATATAATTGTTAAAAATATCTCTTAAGTTTGCAATTTAAATTATAAAAAATCTATTCTTTTCAAAATATTGCTTTTCAAATAACACATTAAATTACATTTATAATTAAATTAGTAATAATTTAATGAGCCACGATATCGGTTAGAAGAAAAAAAGAAGCAAAAAGTCTTTTATTACGTATTTTAACTATAACATTTGTAATAGTAACTTAGCATTTTTAGCACCGATCCAACAGAAATTGACAAGTAATTGAAATTAAAATTAAAAGAAATATTCGTCCAAAAATGAGTGTTTGTAAGAAAACAATTATTTTTTTATCTAATTCACTGTCGCTTTCAAGCAAAGTTGCATACACACGAATTGCGAAATTATAATTAACAATTACGTGTGAGTGGCGTCATAAAAATTATTTATTTTATAAATAAAACTTTATCAATATTAAAATAACAAAAAAAAAAAAAATAAATAAAAAATAAAGCTTATCATCATCAAGTAGAATATAGCTTTGAATATATTTGATTGGCAGAAAATTCTTAAAACGTAAATATACATATATAACCATCCTATTTTATTTAATCGTTATTTTATTAGCAAATTAATAATTAACGTTATAACTTTATAACATATGATAATAATAATAATTTATATTATAAACATATATATATTAAGAATTTAATGTGATACGGTAAATGACGAAAATTTATGAAACTTGATGAAACTTTACATACAACTTTAATTGCCTGAAAAAGTTAGATTTGTATGACAATTAATTTCAGATATTTTGGCATATTTTGCTATTTATAATTGAGCAACAATAATCCGTAGTTTCAAAGCATGGACTATTTTATTATTAATAATAATAATAATAATAATAATAATAACAATCAAGTTAAATTTATACCGATTTCAAAGTTATTTCAAAAAAATTTAGTAGCGAAATTAATTAAGAAGTAGTTATATATTTAAGCAAATTTATATTATAATAAATTTAGGGATGGACATCTTAACTAATTTTTATATCATTGAAGTGTAAATTAGACGTCCGTCAAATACAAACCGGTGAAAAAATAAATCGTCATTGTTAAATTAAATTTTTATATATATAATTATGAAAATCGAATACATGCTATACTATATGGGCTTCTATTTACTATCTGATGTACGATATTGAAAATGTCAAATGTGCAAATAACAACAATAATATACATTATGCAATAATTGCCACTTAGCACAAATTTTCCTAAAAGAAATGATAATATACGAGATAAGTTCGTATAAAACTTCGATTGCTATTTTTGTATTTTACATTATCTCGATATTTTTAATATTAATATTTATATTTATCATATGTATAAAAATTAATCAAATACAATATAACATAATGATAAAATGATAAGAATAATAAAGGTAATAATAATTTAGAACCTTTGAAAAATATGGTTTTATGTAAACTGTCAGTATTTTGTTTTAAAAATTGTCCATAATTTCTTAAAACATAAATGAGTATTTAGCAATAAATTTATGAATGTTCTAAATTAAATAAGTATGTTTAAAGATACTTCGTAGTTGGAAAATACTTGATATTCATTCTAAAAATTTGAATTCATTCATACAAATTGAAAGTAAAATTAGAAATCTCTTTGATTAAAAGTTTCGTTAAATATGTTGGGATTCCTATAGTCGATAAGTATCATTTACGAATATTTAAACAATTTGTTGTGACCTAGCCTGAAAAGAAGTAACAACATTATCAATATTCATGTTCATAAATATCAAGAGACGTTGGATAAAAAAAAAAAAGAGA